AGTTACTGATAATTTAGAAATAGGTCAAAACTATCTCTGATTACAACTGTCTTGGGCTACTTTGGTCTGCTGAGACAAGGTTGTTAGGCTGTCCTGGGAGTGTGTTGGTTAAGAATGATGGTTGGGAATGTTCTTGCTGGGGCAAGGCACTGAAGAAATGTAAAACCAAATCTTGATCGGTGACTCTTTCTTGTGGTCCATCTGTTTTACCCTTAGCTTTAAAGTAGTGGTAGTGTTTATTACAGATTCAGCTTTTGGAAGTGAAGAAAGAAAACCAAAAAAATGTGCAAAAAAACCCCTGAAGCCAGAGGAATGCTTGAGATGAAAAGCTAAATTTGTCACTTAGAGCTTCACATATTCAGATGAGCTATTCTCACCATCACCTTGTATGCTGATCAGTGCTATAAGATAGGCACGATTAGGTAAACAAATAACCTCCAGTTAATTATCTCTGAAATCCTAAAGATTGATTGATACATTTTATATCACACTGGCTTTTGAAAGCTACAGTTGTAGCCTAGATTGCTATAAAAGCATCCATACAGATTTCTAGTCTTCTGTTTGCATAAATCTAACAGTCTCGTGGTATGTGTAAGGCAGGATATTTAATTAACCCATTTGCAAATTAACTTTTCTGTGTATAAAAAATTTTAATTCATCTAATGGAATAAGTCTTGCTCCTACAGCTTTTATTTAGAAAACTACTTGTTATGTGTGTATGTTGGACAATTGAATGTTCTTTTTGAAATATTTGTGCTTCATACAAAGTCTTAGGTTGACAGATCCTGCCTCATATGTATCTCTGAGACCTTACTTCTATTTTGTTCATGTACCATTCAGTTTTTATTTAAAAGTTAACTTTAAAAAATTTAATTTGTACATGTTGTGGTTTAACCCTGGAGGGCAGCTGAGCCCTGTGCAGCCACTTGCTCACTTACCCCCATGGGGATAGGGGAGAGAATTGGAAGGGTGAAAGAAAACTCATGGGTTGAGATAAAGGCAGTTTAATAGGCAAAGCAAAAGCCACATACACAAGCAAAGCAAAAGAAGGAGTTCATTCACTACTTCCCATCAGCAGGCAGATGTGTAGCCATCTCCAGGAAAGCAAGACTCCACTATGTGTAACAGTTACTTGGAAAAACAAGCTCCGTAACTTTGAACCTCCTCCCTTCCTCCATCTTCTGTCAGTTTTATTGCTCAGCACAATGTTGTATGGTGTGGGATATCCCTCTGGTCCGTTGGGACCAACTGTACTGGCTGTGTTCTCTCTCAGGCTCTTGTGCACCCCCAGCCAATTTTCTGGCAGGCAGTGTGAGAAACAGAGAAGGCCTTGAAGCTATGTGAATGCTGCTCAGCAGTGGCTAAAACATCCCTGTGTTGTCAACACTGTTTTGGTTGCAAATCCAAAACATAACCTCATACTAGGTACTATGAAGAAACTTAACTCTATCCCAGCCAAAACCAGAAGCTAGAAAATACAGCAGAAGCTAGAAAACTGCCCAACTTATCTTCAATCCAAAGGTCTGAAAGAAAGGGGAGGGAGGGTGCTAGTGAAGAAGATGTTCTCAGTTTGAAATAAGTGGGTGGGAAATCAAGGCACTGTTAAACTTATACTGAAAGTGCTCCTGGCTGTGAAAGTCTGCTCAAATTAATACTACCTTAAATTGTCAGCCACTTTTATTGATTTTGCTTTCAAATATTTACAGGAAAGCCAGTCCTTTGTCTAGGCAGATGAAGGGGTGATGACTACCTCTACAGATGGTAGACAACAACCTTGGGAAATAGAGAGAGGGAGGGAGACTAGTCAATTAGGCAAAAATGTGGAGAAATTTTAGTTTATAAAGGGATTTATTCTATTTAAGAATGCCAAGTAACATTCGGAAAACCAGAAAAAAAAATAATGTATTACAGTTAATTCCTTAGGTATTAAATATAGATTCTAGAACAAAGATTTTAAGTTTGTGGAAGCACGAATTTGGATTGCTCAGCTGTAAAGATAGTGATGTCTTGTAGAACAAACAACATTTTTTTTTTTGGTCTGTAATTTGGAATCAGTAATTACAGAGAGAAGTATGTAAAATCACAGACCTTTTTGATTCTTGTTCATTATTCTTGCTCTGTAGTTTCTGTGGACTGGGATGGACCTTTGCACAGTGAAAAGTTTTCATGCATGAGAGAATGTTGTAGCAGAATTTCCCATTAATAGTTTTTTGAACCACTGTATGTATAAACCACCCATATACATATATGAAAGGTCAGCCTTACCATGATAAATTTTCAGAGGTGTAAGATTGCTGAATTTTAGATTGGATCCAGTCTTGTAAACACTAGGTTTGAGAGTTGCTCGTTTTTTTTACCTCAGCCCAGTACATATGGCATTTAATACATGTTTGTTCTCCTGCTTTAAGCCTCCAATCTTGGACTTAGTGAATGAGTTTTCTGAAGTTACAGTAATTTGAGGTTAAAGAGGGAAAAGAATTCTTCAAAGGGTGACTTACTCTAGAGGTAAACATTAAAAATGAAACATAGAACTGTATACCCCATTTACCAGGTAAGAAAAATAATTTTCTAATAGCCAGAAGACACAAAAATAATTGCATCCACTTATTACTGCTAAATAACAAATTTCCTAATTAACTTCTCTGTTCTTGGAAATGACATTATCTTTTAACACAAGTTTTATCTATTGAAGACTAACTCATGTGGCTAGGTGAAAATCATTACTATTATATAAAGGCAGAATGTAAAGCAGTGCTATGTAATTACTTTTAAGTATCCATAAAATCAAGTGGGGAAAAAAAAGAAAGCCCATCATAAATAGATTTAATTATACAACAAGAAAAAACAGAAGGACCTGCAGGTATGAAACTACTGAAAATCTGATCTAAATAAAAGGGAAATGGAGGTAAGTCAGTCTCCTGTCCTTCATTGTGACTTCAGGGGCAGCTCTCTGGAGGTTTTGTACTACATACTAAAGAATGCAGTAGAAACATAGAATGGTTGGGGTTGGGACAGACCTTTAAAGGTCATCTAGTCCAACCCCCCTACAGTGAGCAGGGACATCTTCAGATAGATCAGGTTGCTCAGAGCCCTGTCCAACCTGAACTTGAGTATTTCCAGGGATGGCGTATCTACGACCTCTCTGGGCAACCTGTTCCAGTGTTTTACCACCCTCAATGTAAAAAATTTCTTCCTTATAGCTGGTCTAAATCTATGCTCTTTTAGTTTAGCACCCTTGTCCTATCGCAACAGGCCCCACTAAAATGTTTGTCCCTGTCTTTCTTATAAGCCTCCTTTAAGTACTAAAAGGCTGCAATAAGGTCTCCCCGAAGCCTTCCCTTCTCCAGGCTGAACAACCCCAACTCTCTCAGCCTATCTTCATAGGAGAGGTGTTCCATCCTTCTGATCATTTTTATGGCCCTTCTCTGGACCCACTCCAACAGGTCCATGTCCTCATGGATCCATGGGTCTGCCATGGATCAAAGGCAGACAAACTTACAAAGTCCTCCTCAGGTGTCGGCCATTGAAGAAAGAGAGCCAACCCTTTGATCCCTCAGCTTTTATACTGAGCATGAGGCAGAAGGGATGGAATACCCCGTTGGTCAGTTTTGGATCACCTGTCCTGTCCACTCCTCCCCACAGGTGGGACCCCTCTATGCTTTTCCACTTCCAGCCCTCCAACGGGGCAAATAACCGAGTTATCTGCCCTTGGGTGTTATAGCAATAAGTATAAGCGAGAGCCTCTCTGCATACCATGCCTGGGCATCAGCTATAAACATAGGTCTTGCCACTCTGAGAGAGCAAACAGTGTCTGCACAATACGCTGTTAATTTCAGTAGTTAGAAGAGGCCCAGCTAAGAAGCAGTTACTGAACAAAACTGGTCCTGTTTTACCTCAAACCAGGACACCCACAGACTTCTGTATGTTCAGGTTCCTCTGGTGGTCACTAACTTGAACTTCTTTTACAGTAGGAGAAACTTTGTCCCCCCAAGTCCCTGCCTTGTGGCCCAGGTCTCTTGCCTTCTTTTCCCGGTTTCCTATGCTGGGGACTGGGAGCTCTTGCACTCTATGAAAAGCGTCCTTAAAGATCTCAAAGAAAAGTCCTTTTTTCCTCCCTTGTCCCTGAAGGAAGTTTCCGGGGGGGGTCCCATTGACTGACGCCTTGAAGAGCTGGAATTTTGCTTTTCTAAAATTCAGGGTCTTGCCTTCAATCTTTGCCTGACCTGGACCCGTCAGGACTGCAAACTCCAACAGTATGTGTTCACTGCAGCCCAGGCTGCCTCCAGTCTTAACATCGCTGATGAGCTTACTTGCATTGGTGACCATCAGGTCCAGTATCTCATCCCCTCTGGTGGTGATGTCTGTTACCTGGCTTAACTAGTTATCCTCGCTGCATTCCAGGAGACTCCTGGATTGCCTACAGCTTACCGTGCTACTTTTCCAGCAGATGTCAGGGTGGTTGAAGTCACCCAACAGGATGAGAGTCTGCAAGTGCAATGCCTCCTGTAGCTGGAGTAAGAAGGCTTTGACAATAGACTCCCCTTGATGGGACAGTAAATTATACTGTATTATTTGAGAGGTTTGTAGAATGTGATAGTAGCATCATCTGAATTCATCTGTAATGACAGAACTGAATTGAAATAGTTGCTTTGTTGCTTTGGTATGTATTTTAATGTGCCATTTTCAATTACCCATTCCTTTCAGTGTGCCTGTAATGGATTTCAAGGAAAAATGAATTTATTGTGGAAATCAGATTATTGCAGTGGTTACAGCTGAACATGCATAACAAGGTGCTTTTAAGATGGTAACTTAAAAGAAATAAGTTGTAAGTCCTATGAAATTACAGACTTTAGAATTTTCCTTTCTCTTTCCTATTAGCAGAAAAAATAATGCAGAACTGTAAGACTTTCTGGTGTGTTTTGACAAGTTCACTGTCTTACATAAGCTACTGTGTTGGCGACCTAGTTCCAAGTTTATTTCGTACTTTTGTTTTATTTTAGGTCCCAAATCTGATCTCAGTTTTGATATTTAAATTGGGAAGACCTTTGGAGCCTGCACTTTACAGGGATATATTGTATACATTGCCTACACTGGGTGTACACAAGGTCAGAATGAAAACTTTTTAGTAAAACAAAAACTGTATCAATAAGAGATCATTTATTTACAAAAAATTATTTAGACTGAGCAATGCATAGTTTGCTTAATATATCTAATTTGTAAGCCTCAGTATAACTTTATAATATTTTGGATAGGATATAACATTTATTTTAAAGAGTGAAATGTACACTGTTTTATTATGTATGCTGTATCATAATTGTATATATATCATAAAAAGATGTTCTTTGACTCATTACGCACTAAAGTTTTTTGGAAAATGACTTCTGGTTTCTTTCTGACATAGCTGTTGGACAGTTACCTCCTTTTTGTACTTGGTTGTAAAATAATGATCTGTAGATTTGTCTTTGTTCTTGGACATAAAAAACAGTGACATTTGGTTAAAAAATTTCTTTCAGGTTTGCGTAGCTCAGATTCTTCGTGCCATACACATGCTTGGGAGCACACCAAAGCTTAGAGCAATTACTTTGCGGCTGATGACATCCTTGTGGGAAAGACAGGTTAGAAAATTCTTGTAGTGTCACTAAGATAAGTGTAGTTGAAAAAATTCATTACCTCTAACCAAGGAAGGAAATTAATTTTGGAGCATTGCTTATACTAGTACCTCGTTATCAGCAGAATAAAGTAAATAGTGGAAGTGGTGTCTCTATTGATTCTGGTTTAGAGAAAAATTTCAGTAGTATGTCTTTTCATGAAACCTGGTTTTCAATTCATCAAGTCTGAGACTGGAAGTATGAAGAAAAAAAAAAAGTTTGAAGGACAGCTTTCTGCTTTTCATAATGTGCAGTAATAACAAGACCTTAGTTCCATGGCAATAATTTGCTGCTGTTTATAAAGTAGCAATAGAGATTTGGTCTGCAAAAAGCAGTTAGATCTCAATGCAGCATTAGATTCCAATAATAAAGAAAAAAAAAAGTATGGAGTGCAATAAAAGTGATATTTAGAAGTTATGTAAGAGTGCTAGCAATTGAAAATCCTGTCACCAACTTTCGAAGGTGTGATGGTAGTTTTTAAATTAAATCTTTTCTAGGATCGAATTTACCCAGAATTGCAGAAGTTCTTGGCCATGTCTGATATGCCCTCTTTATATGTTGACAAAGATGCTCAGTGGGAAAAGCTGATTGCTAAAGCTGCTTGTATAAGAGATATATGTAGGCAGAGGTAAGCACAAGTGTTATCCATCTTATGTCGGAAAACCTTTTTTTTTCTGAAAAGCTGTATAATTATTTTTACCTACTCTGTTATATTAATTGTGGGTAATATTTTTCTAGTTCTATGAGATACAGACTCAGGCATTGCTAATCTGAGCAGGTAGTGAGTTTTGAGTTGTATGTGCGTTCTATATATGTTAATGTAAAAATAATGTGAAAATTAAAATGTCTTGATCCTGAAAACATGCATCCTGTACTGATCCAGAGTAGAAAATTTAAGCATACGACCCCTAAATTATAAAAAAAGAGTGATGAAGCATTAAAAGAAATAACTAATGACCTGTCTGTCTTTTGATCTATTCAAAGAAATATTGGGTGCTTTTCTGAAAAGTGTATTTTGTCGCTTTTTTGCAAATTGCTGGTCTTTATTCAGATAGAATACTGACCACAGAACATAGCTGTACAAGTCTGACTGGATGACACATTGATCCTTTCCAGTTCTAACATTACTTGATAATAATTTACAGTTCCTGTAAAGATTAGTTTTAAACATATTATCAATTACTTTCTGTTTTGATGTGCACAATGCCATCTTTTTTCTTTGCTGCCTTTTGGGTTCCACTTCTCACTTTTCTTCTTGAAGGTCAGTTACTAACAGCTGGGAAGATTCACATGTCTTTCAGTCATCAACTGAAAAAAAAGTTCTTAAAGAAAATACCCTTTCCTTTACTACTTCAACTTTCTTTAATTTTGCCAAGCAGTATTTTTCAAGAAATACTAAAAAAGAAAAAAAAAAAGCAAAAAGCAAGAGATAAATCTCAATTAAGCTGTAATACTCTTTTTGTCAGGTAAGTGGTGTAGTTAGAGTTCAGGTGTGTGCGCTTACTTCATGAATTTAGAAATTATTTGGAAGAAAGTGAGAGCAAATAGAGGAAGCCTGAATATTCCATGCATATAAATCACCTAGCCAGATGCTATTTACCCCAAGTTCCTACAGAAACAGTATAAGTGATTGCTGAATCAGCAGTTGACACCTCCCCTCCCACCACCCAATAAAATTAAACAGATACTAAAAGACTGGAAAGCAAACAAGCAGCCCATGCAGTCGTTGAAGGAGAGACAAATGACATTGCAGCAGCAAAAAATTTGGAAAAAAATTTCCTACCTGATGTAAGAAGACCAGAAGTCTTGCTGACAGAATCTCCACCGATACACAGTAGTGAGTATAGAAGACTATGTCAAAGAAGCAAAGAGTAGTGTCTTTAATAGCACACAAGGATTTTCATTCTCAGTTACTTCTTGAATGATGTAATCTTTTACCATTACACAGCATACTTGGACAAAAACTTCCATAGCTTAACCTCCTGGTGATCTTTTATTTGGAATTTGATGCCTGCTGATTTAATTCTCCATGTCACTCAGCCTTTAGAGCTCTCTATCATATCCTCCCTTGTATCTTTTTTTTTTCCCTCCCAGTTTTAGTCTGTTTCAGTTGTCTCTTGAACAAAACCAATACTTAATGAATTTTGGTGTTTAGAATAGAATTTGTGTGAATGCATGAATATTGCCTTATATCTTCATGTATTTTCCCTTAGGCCGTACCAACATGGAGCAGACATGTTGGCTGCAATTTCCCAGGTATTAAATGAATGCACAAAACCTGATCAAGCTTCGCCTGCTGCCATAGTGTTACAGGGTCTTCAGGCACTTTGTGAGGCTGAGGTAAGATTAAATTGTCTTGTCCCTGTGTTTCGTGTTTTGCTTGTGGATCAGGGACGTTTTTCCCTGGTTGGCGCTGGTTTTTTTTAAGCATACATTAGATTGTTGCAGAATATTTTTTCTTCTTCGACAAAAGTAATTCCTCTTTTCCAACATCGCTTAATTGTTCCTGAGAAATTGTACTGTGAGCTTCTACTGCAGCAGGTCAGCTCTGCAGCGTAGGTTGGTATTTTAGGTCAGCTTCACAATTTGTTTCAAAGACGTCCTCTCATGCGTTTTTTCCTTGAGGTTTGAAAAGAACAGCTGTTTGGCACATGATTCTGATTGGTGGAAAAGTATGTAAATATTCTCATTTTTGATACCTTCATACTGGTCTGCCCTGCTGGGTCTCATTCACGTAGTGTACCTGACAGAGTGAAGTCACTTATTATGTGAAGACTTCTGTTTCACTCCAGTGCATTCATATTTACTGATGAAGAACACAAGTAAGCATGGGAACATGCTGCCCAGAGAGGTTGTGCTGTCTCCACCCTTTATCCATGTTCCTTGTGGATAAAACTCTGAGAAGCTGGGTTTGATCTCATAGTGACCCTGCTTTGAGAAGAAAGTTGTACTAGAAATATCCTGAGGTCCCTTCCAACCTAAATTGTCCTGTGATGCTACAATATCCCTGAATTAGGAGCCAAGGCTTTTTGTTTCCACAGTGACATCCCAGACACGGTGATGCAGGCACAGACATGCTGTGAATCACACTATAGACAAACTGTGGACTATGCAGGCCATCTGAGTTAGTGAACTAATTATAGCCTGCAGGAATATTTGATTTCCCTTTCTCTGCCAAACAGCAATTTTAAGTTTATCCACTTAATCACTTTTAGTGCAGTGTTTACTGCAGTGAGGCCAATCCAACAAAAGTCTCCAGCCATTGCCACATTATACATCTGAAATCGTCAGCAGTTCAAGAACAACATAATAAACGGTTGGCAGTCCATAGACATCAGTATTCAATATAGTTAAAAAGCTTCAGACAATGGTTACTAGGAACCAACTTATTCAGGGTAATGTAATTACTGTTTTTGCTTTTGGTGTGGAGTTTGGCTTTTCTTATGGTCACATAGATTCTTTGAATGGTGGCCTCAGTATTTAAGGAGGGTTTTCGCAGGCTGGATTGTATTTAGACTTTGTTTCATGCAAAGAAGCAGGAGCTAGGCTTATGACAAATGTCACGTCCTACTATAAAAACTTCATTTGAGAACAGATGTACTGTACCACTGTTGAGAATTGGAAGGCAGAGGCAACTCCAGGTACTCAGGAAGGAAGGAAGGAAATAATCACTTTTTAGACAGGTACCAATTTTTCCTGTCCTCATTCTTACAGGCCTTCCTCAGCTTCCTTTGTTTACCCAATTTCATGCCAGTGTAATTAATGTTCCAGGAGACCAGATCTGCCACCCAGGTATACTGAAACTTTAAGAGAGAATTCTCTTGTGGTTTGGTAAACTGGGCAACCATTTGGGTTAAGTAATGCCGTCTGTCCCTTATTTAGTATTTAGATGCCAGCCTGAGGTGCAGAAACCTTGAAGGAAATAATCACAGAGGTTGGTCAGAGGGTTTTGTTTTGGTGCTTTCTTTCTCTGCCACAGTTTCACTACATAACCATGGAAAAGGGATTTCATCTTTTTAAGCTTTTCCATGGGCTGCTGTTTAGGTGCAGGATTTTAGTGACCACCTAATTTTCAGTCAACTTCTGCACCAGTATAACAAATTATACTTTCTTATGTATATAGTGTTGACATAGTTGATGATGGAACCCTGTACACCATGCGGCTTTGTCAAAGTTGAGTTGTGAGAGTCTCAGAATGACTCCTTTGTAGAAGTAATGCTATAATAAAACATGCTGTGACATTGATTTTATTTTTTTTTTAGTCAAATATTTTCCATTTTGTTGACTGCAATAATTGCTTTGTGTAAACGTAATGGCTTTGCCCAAAGTATGTACTACATAAATAGCATTAAGAGCATTAGCTTAGCTTTTGTGGGACTTACAAGAAGGTCTTACCTTCCCTGACCCCACCCCTTTTCTTTTGGTACATATAACTAAAGGCCTTCAATGAAGAGTGCCCAGTGACTTGCATGTCAAAAATGTAAAATACACACAGTTATTGCAAGGCCACATTTCCAATTTCTGGGCGAGTGTTTTGAGTTTTCAGTGATTTCAACAGAAGCCAGTGTACTTCCTATGAGGCCATCTATCCTGGCATCTAATTGATTTCGTGTAACAAGTATGCAAGCCAAGAAACATTAAAGAACAAAGATGCTAAGCATGGTATTTAAAACCCCTTTCCAAGCCTTTTGTGGAAGTGGTTTCTTGCTGTTTACTCCCTCAGTCCACATTTATTTGTTTTATTGATCGGAAAGAAACCAGCATAGCAGAGTAATATAATGAATGATAAATTGAGAACAAATTATGTTGACTGAGTTTAACAGTTAGTAAGAAGTACAAAGCTAGATGTTGTTTAAACAGTGCACACTTAAAAACTGTACTCTTAAAATGGTGGATTTGTGTTGAGATGTTATCAGCTGATCATTACCTTTTTCTTGGGCTCAAGTTTCTGCCAGTTTCACTTTCTCAGGTCTGATTTACTTATTCTCGTTTTTCCTTACTTCATATCCTTGACCTTGTACACATAGTTGACATCGTAATTTCTGTTTGAACTCTTTAGCCAGTAATGTAGGTACAGTTCCTTACCTGTGGAAGATCTGATGTTGATCTGATCTGTAAGATCTGATCTGCTGTTGAAGGGAGCTGCCAGGCTCCCAGGACGAACTCGCTGTAGGTAAGGGCTTTTCCACATCCTGAATGAGTAAGCAAAATGACTTCACTGAATGAAAATAGTGTTACCAGCTCCACTTCTGGTTTTTGAAAGCTGGAAATGTGAAAGATACTGTGGCAACATAAATGTGACTTCATCTTACGAATGCATTATGTTATGTAGTCATAAACAGTTCCTCCTTCTGCACTTGCTTCTGCACCTGACCTCTTTTCGTCTTGGAAACATTCACTACAGTGACAATTTTGTTTTCTGTCACTTGATTAGGATTTTTGGCATACTACTGTGGTCTAGCTGGTGTTACCCTGTTGTTCTCTTCTCCTCTTCTCTCTAGTTTTGCTTTCCCAAGCTACGCCATTTTACGTATTTTTGACACTTCATTTGCTTTTTTTTGTCAAGGCTGGAATAGAATTCTAACCTTGCATTCTGGTTTTGCTAATAAGATAGCTAGCACTCTTGCACTTTTTGTAAGAAATGTTATATAGCAATAGCTTGAGGGACACTGAATAGCTTCAGGAAGACTAAATTCATTAGTGTGTTTTGGGTGGAGAAGTTACTATTTTTTCTAAGCTTAGGAAAATTTTATTTTCTTCAGAACACACAATATGACTTATAATTTTAATAAATGTTATCTTAAACTTTGTAATTTAAAACATTAACAGTGGCTCTTAACTTGCATGTTACTTCTCTTTGGGTTTCAACTTCATGTTGCATTCATTGCAGACACAAAATAAATTAAGGAAACTTGTGCTCCGAGTACTTGTAATCTGTTAGCAGAAACTGGAAAACTGCTTGTATAGTCCACAAAAAGAATTCCCCCTCTGTAGCTGAAATTTCAGTGTAAGCATTTTGCATTTGAATGTGGACATACTCTGTAGACAGAATGCTCATGGCCAAACTTTTTACTGTTGAAATGGCATTGAGGAATGATTTGGCTGTTAATCCTTAGGATTAATAGTAGTGCTTCTGCCTCTGTGGCACCATCATGTTGTCAAGTCAGCTGGTTTTGCAGTATTGACCAAAATGTGTTTTGAAAAGAAGATGGTTTTATTTACTCTAATTTATTCCTAGACCATATTTGTCTAAAAATGTCACAGGGCAGCAAGGGTCATTTTTTTGTTATCACAGTGTGTGTCAGAGTCCAATACTCTCTAACCAGGTTATTTTAGATATTCTGTGCATGGCATATGTAATGTGTAATATCAAGTTTACATATTTCAAGATAGCTGTTGTTACACAGGATTTCTGATTCAGCAGAGTGATACAAAATACATCGACATCACAATACAAATTGAAGTTACTCTTAGCAAAATGTAGCAATTGCAATATACAGTTCAGTCACAATACCAATGTGACTCCCATTACTGGTCTCTACAATACGCAATACACTCCCCGTCGTGATTCTGAGCATCCCCAATTACCTTGAAGGAATATGTAAGTTGAAGCTAGCTCAAGCCTGGTCCTCTCTTCAAAATTCTTCTATTGATTGTCTAGTTTTTATACTCTATCTTGGGCTGGGCCATGTATTCACTCTCTCATATGCTGGTCTGACTGACTCAGGGACATGTTCACACTCTTTTAATGAACTGGGGAGAAACATTTATTCCGTCAGTTGATCCATTGAACTGTTTATAGTTGTATATCTAAAACTAAGGTCCTCTTTGTGTTGAGTCAGTTTGCTTGCAACAGCCATGATAAGTCCCACCCTGCATTATTCTCTGATGGGCACATCACTTTTGCCCATCTGAGCCACCTTCCATTGTAGGGGTTTATTGGTCCGTCACAAGCAGTAGCACTTACGCAAAGCAATGGTATGTCCATTACTTTTTGCAAGTTGCAGGTATTTCTGTAGCTGGGTGTTAAGTGTAACACTTTGCAGCAGAGGATGTGTCTGGTGGGTTTTGCTGCAATTACATGTTCTGGAAAGATTCTGATGGGTTTATCCTAATTGGAGTTTAGAGGAGATTCTGAATTTCAAGCAATCATCACAAAAGATGTAAAGCTGCTCTGCAATAAATGATGAATACTGTATGTTGACTTGGTTACTGACATGTTTACTGTGTGGACACAGTGATTCAGTTTTAAGGTTTTACCAAAAAGCTAAAAAGGAAGACAAATAATTCAAGACTAGCTACCTGAGGATCATTTTGTGACAATGAAATTGTTTTAATAA